GTGGCACTTGTATGTGGATCAGGAGGCAGTTGTGCAAATGGAACAAGAGACTACGGCATGGTTTAAAATCAGGAAAGGGGTGTGCCAGAATTCTACCTTCTCACCATATTTATTCCATCTGTATGCTGATCAAATCATCAGAGAAACTGGATTATATGAAGAAGAATGTGGCATCAGGATTGTTAACAGCCTGCGAAATGCAGATGACACCACCTTGCTTGCTGAAAACAAGGAAAATTGCATCACTTGCTAATGAAGATAAAGGATTTCAGACTTCATTATTGATTACAACTCACAACTGAAGGAGGAGATAATATCACGATAAAAGGAGAAGAGGTTGAAGTTGTCAAGGTTTTTGTCTTACTTGGATCCACAATCAATGCTCATGGGAGCAGCAGTCAAGAGATGAAAAGACATATTGCGCTAGGTAAATCATCACACAAGACCTGTTTAGAGTATTGAAGAGCAAGGATGATACTTTGAGGACTGAGGTGCCCCTGACCCAAGCCATGGTGTTTTCCTTTGCAGCCTATGCATGTGAATGTTGGACTTTGAATAAGGAAGACAGTAGAAGAATTGATGCACTTGAATTCTGGTCCTGTTGACAAATATTGCAAGTACCATGGACTGCTAAAATGACAAACCGATCTGTATTGGAAGAAGTAAGAGCAGAGTGCTCCTTAGAGGCAAGGATGGCAAGACTGCCTTCCATACTTTGGACATATTGCCAGGAGAGACCAGTCCTTGGAGAAGGCCCTCATGTTTGGGGAAGTGGAGGGGAAGTGAAAAAAAGGAAGTCCCTCAACTAGATGGATTGACACAGTGGTTGCATCCATGGGTTCAAGAATAGGAACAATTGTGAGGATGGTACACGACCATACAGTGTTTCGTTCTCTTGTGCAGAGGGTCACTGTGGGTTGAGACAATTTGATGGCACCTAAAAACAACACAGAAACATATTTTACTATCTTATAGTTGATGTAAAGTGATCCCAGAAAGTCCTTTACGATATAAATTTAAACTTTTAGACTGGCCATTTTAGCAGTTTTACCTTCTTTATTCTTAAAACCAGAAGCCTCTGTGAAAAAGATATTCCCATAGAATTCTATTTTTCTTACAAATAAGTAAGTGGCTCTGGATACTCTTCTAAGATATTTCTAAGTGTTATTATCTCTTTACCTGTTAGTCTGCTGAGGAAGAATATTCAAAAACTCAAAACACTATTGCTCATGTCTCAAGTTCACTCGTCATACGGGACTCTTCATCTTCCTTGCTATGGGAATGATAACTCAAAAAGTATGGGATACACCTAGTTAGCTGAGCTTTGTTTCCAGTTCATTGACCCATCATGATTCATTGTAAAATTACGGAACCATCCCTTCATAAATATTCTCTTTCTTGTGCACCCTATGAACCGTTACGAACAAAGCAACACAAAATGAAATGATCACATTCCAATAAATAGACCGAGACAAACTTGAAATAACAAGATTTAAAAAATGACAACCCCAATTTGTGTTCCGTGTTTGAACCCTTGTCACCCAATAACCCCACCAAATGCTTCTTCATTTTTAACTGTTCATTACGTGAATCACCGAGTGCTGTATGAGCATCCTGTAGCTCTGGTCGTGAGGCCCAGCTTGGCAAATGCTTTGCTGGATGACCTGGGAGGAGATAGTAGGGAGCTACACTTGTCTCTAGGATTTTCTACTGATTCAAAAGGGAATGTGGTTAGGTACAGGCAAGAGATAAAGCTCATGACACACGGAACCCAGGAACAGGCATGGGAATAGCCATACCACAAGGGTAGGGGAAAGGGGTGGAGGGGAGGGGAGGAAGTGGGTACCGATTGCAATGAATGGCACACAACTACACACATCCCTCCAGGGGAAAGAACAACAGAAACCAGAGGGGAAAGGAGACAGCGGTTGGTTTGAAATATAGATAACAACAATCTATAATCTATCAAGGGGCCACAAGGGTGAGGGGAGGAGGGGAAAAAAGGAGGAGCTGATCCCAAGGGCTCAATAGAAAGTAAATGTCTAGAAAAGAACAATGGTAATATATATACAAATGTCTGATACAATTGATAAATGGATTGTAACTAGAATTGTAGGAGCCCCCAATAAATTAATCTTAAAAAAACGGGCAGGGGGGATATGGAGAAACTTTTTGCATTTTATCTGATTCAACTTTCATTAAAAAATGGCTCCTTTTGGATGAAAGGATAGATTCTTAGATTAAATCAGTGTAGCTTAATGTATCACTGTCAGAATGTGACCTCATGGGGACCTATCCTTGGCCCATGCCTTTTAAACATTTTTGTCTGAAGGAGACAAATGACATATTTTCCAAATCATAGCTGGGAGAGTTATCTAATGTGGTAGGAAAAAAATCAAGAAGCAAAATAATCTCAAATGGCTAGTAGCGAAAATAACAACAAAAATAGGCCAAGCGCAAAAGGATGGAAATGAACGGGGATCAAGGTTAAGTCCAACAGTGGGTTCCAAAAGCATCAGCTGTCCAAACCCGGAAGGCGGAATAATTAGTCTGACTGTTGCCTTCTCCCCACCCCATTCCCAGCGGTCACGTTGACGAACAAAGTCTCACCCAAAACCGACGATGTGGCACCCACTCTTCAAACCTAAATGCATGCTTGAACTGCATTCGTAGGTGTTCAGATCCCTGGGGGAAACTGCTCCCCTGAATCGTGTACAGATTAAAGGGGCACCAGACTTCGTGAGGCTATCACCACTGCTGGAAACATTCCGAACCGGAGATTCTGCATAAAGAATTCCGAAACCAAGGCAAGAGAAGAATGCTAAAGGCTCTGTGGCGTTTAGGCCGTGGAAGCGCAAGCAGAGACAGGATGCAGAAAACTCGGTTGCTCAATTAACTGCAGGCATGAGAGTAG